TTTCTAGGTCGGTGTTCCTTGTATGTTTTTTTCTGCCCTTTAAATTGAGCTTTTTTCTTTTTTGTTTTACACCGTGTTTCCCGTCCATACTGCTTTTTGCTTAATTACTGAAAATGACAGTTTATACATCTTATTGGGTTTTGCAGTCCGAAGTTGAGCTTTAAAGTTTGAAAATTTAGAAATGCAATAGTTTTATCGGTGATCTTTCATTAGTATTGCTTTTTTTTGCGAATTTACTTTACGAAAGAACGAGTTTTTGCTAGTTTTTTGCGAGTTTACGAAGGAAAGAATACGTCGTAGGCATTACTTTTAAGGTTAGTTGGAACGTGGAGATGACTCGCATTATTAACTTATCAGATCTGTATAGACTATTGATTTAAGTCATCCATAAATTCTCCATTAATCTTAATATTATGGAAATACAAGTTGCTTATCGATCCTGGAATATGGATTATTTTTATAAGGGTTTAAAAATTCTGCAGCTGTATGAATTTTCCATAGATTATTTTTTTGAAAATGGTTCATTGTCTGCTTGTTTTTTAATAATTCAGAAGTAACTCTTTTGACATTAGATATCGAAATATTGTTGGATGAATCTGGGAACCTCGCCTTTCCTCTGCAAAATATTGGGTATTTTGGTATATGTTCATTACTTGAAAATTGATATCAACAGTTAAGTTTAAAGTCTTCGGTGTATCTGCCATGCGTGTTCTGTGTATACATGTGTGTTTGTGTCTTCTTTCTCTTTGGTACCGTCTGTTGGTCACTTTTAAGTTCCCTGTGTCGTTTTGTTTTCTCTTCCACGGCCAGTAAATTGTTTGGCTCTTTTTTTTCTTATTTTTTCTCTTGCTAGTTTACCTGGTAGTTTTACTCATTTCATGTTTTCAGATTCTGTTTCATCTGCTTTTTCATGAAATTCTTGGCAATTACCACATATGCGTCGAGTTTTTTTCTTTTCTGGAAAGATAGGTATTAAGAGGTCTCGTTCTTTCCCTTCTCGATTCTCTTCTTAACTCAGGTATTTCAGTTCTGCAATCAGATTAGATGAAACTAAGATTTTGAGTAAAAGTGAGTACATTTATAATTTGCCTGAATAATGACCTCCTTGCACAGCAAATTATTACATTATAATAGTAATGATTACGGTTTCGAGCACTCCGACTGCTAGATATCAAAGCGGAAATTCTGTACTATTTTATAATCGAGATTCTTCGTTGATATTCGGTGCATTTGTGTTTCAGTTAAATTTTACTTTTAACATTTGTCACCCTTGCCATTCAATGATGTACTTTTACAATGATTGACTGAAACTCTAATTCTCCCAAAAAATTAGTGGTATTGCGGGTCAGATTGATGTTTTAATTGATATTGCCTTAATTACTATTATTGTTATTATTTATGAATGATTCCTCCCTTGAGAGTTTTTCATGCAGTTTTTTATTGGATTTATTATTGATTTTAATCGAAGAAGACAATCATTGGTTTAAATAATTGCCACAGAGCATTCATTTCCTGATTATTGTATTCTCACCGAGCTTTGTTCTTTTTTATTGAATTTGTTGTCTGTTCGTTTTGTCGGTTTATTTTCTTACATCTTATTACGGTTACCATTCGGGTCCTGTAATTGTTTAAATTAAAGTTCCAAGTATTTCTTTTTTTTTATTCATTGTAGCCTTATTAAATATGGAAAATCTAGTTTAAGTCGCGATCTACTTTCAAATTCTCCATTTGTTGCGGCCTGAAGGATAGTTTTTCTTTGCGATAGTATGCTGTGATTTCAATATTCGTTGAATCTCGAAGTGATATACTGTTTGCATCAGTATTCATAAGTCTTCCACCACTTCGAGGCACTGAGCTTTCCACATAAATTACACAAATTCAACTTTCTTGATATCACATGCGCGAGTGGATGTTTCTATGTTAATTCGTATTTTCCTTTTTTCTAATGACAATTTAGGCCGTGATTTTCTGATTACGACACATTTTCGATTTATCAAACTCTCTTATGCAAGAATGCGAGCTGAATAGTGATTCATTCTTTTTGCTCTATCATTGTAATTTATTTGTTAATGAAGATGTGGGAATGAAAGTTTTTTTGCAAGGTCTGTATAATTTTATGTATTATACCCATCATTTTTTTCATTTTGAAATAAAGTTAAATTATGGGTTAAGATACTTCGACGTCAGTTTATAAGCCTGTTGTGGTCAGTCATGAAAGCAGGTAATCGATGGAGGGAGATGATTTTGTTTTGAAAACTGGGCTTTCTGCGCATATGGTTTATAGGAGCTCAACTTGAGCTATCTACGACATCTCGTATAAAATATAATCAAGGGTAAAGGGAGTTGCAGCTTGATGGTTTACAAGTTAACAAATGTATTTTCAAAATGAAATTAGAGATAATGCTGATTGTCATTTATTTCATTTTGCCTTCTTACATGGAAATTTCACTTCAGAAATGTAACAGATTATCCAAATACGAAATATATGAGATGGAAAGGCGTAGTATCTCGATTTTCGATAGCTTCTTATTGAGTGGTAATGTAGGTAGCAGTTCTCGTAGTTTTGCGAATGCACTATTAAACGATTCGACTCGAATACTATAATTGATGAACATTTGTGAATGATAAAATATATTCTTAAAAATTGAAAAAAGAAATGGAAGAAATTAAATTACCTGAACTCACTTCAGTTCTGTCTGTCAATTAGGAAGTTAGTTCATTCTCAAACATTATCATACTTAACTGCAATAGTTCATTGAAAAATTATTAATATATAAAACGCCATTGGTTTTAAAACAATTCAGGACAAAAATAAGAATGACAAATGTCAAAAATCACCGTTCTCGACTAGCGTGAAGGTTGCGGTATTTTGGCGTAGCCCGCCGTCGTTTTCGTCTTTCTGCTTTGCTCAGCTTCTTCAATTCAATAGCCGATAACTGATGCATTACCGGAAATATATGAGTATAAAGAATGATTGCAAATCGAAGGATCCAGGGAGTGTCATATCAATTTATTATTGCCCAGGGATTGAAAGAATAGAGACGATTTTGGCTTAATTAAATCATTCACTAACAACACATCCCTTCACTGTATATCAGGCTCAGGATTTTATTAGTTTTTATTTGAATATAGGAAGAGAAATAATTAGCAAACATATGCTGCCTATAAGCTAAGCTCACTGGACTCTTTATTGATAGTATAGGCTCTAAATATTCCAGAAATTTCCGGGAATTTTTGCTAAATGCAAAAAGATGTTAAATAAGCGCTTGCTTCAGATCTCCACATATAAACAGGGATATTGCGAATTCATATTTGAATTCCCGCAATATCCCTGTTTATTTTACGGGAGAAGGGAAAATCGTCACCTTATTTATTTTATTTCTATCGCATTTTAATTGTCTCGCTAACAGATTTCAACCTGGATGTTAGTTCAAAGATATATCATACAGAATTACATCATTTCAACAATATTTTCGGATTCCGTACGTGAAGATTACTTTAAAAATAAACATTTCAAAAATCTATATTGCGGTGTTGGGCTTTAGTTGTTACAATGCGTTTCACAAAACACACGATCTTTCAACATGCGATTGATTGGTTCTTTTTAGTTATGTTATCAGTTTGGTGCTATTCAGTCTGTTTTAGAAGTCAATCGATTACTGCAAGAAACTTCGAAATTGTTTAGTTGTTACCAGTTCAAATGAATTTGGTTTTATATCCTCTGGAGGCTACTGATTTCGAATAAATTATCCGGAAAATGTCTGGATAGGGACAGATTCTTCCTGCTTGAGTTATAAGGAAATCTCGACTTTCCGCTCCTTCAACACTTCTTTTAATTTTTCTTTCCGGTTTAAATTTCACGTTTCTTTGATGGTAGAAGGCTGTGGGAATAGAATTAAAAAAGAGAATATTTTTGTAACATTGACAATATCATCCTCAAAGAGAATTTGTTAAAAATAATGAATAACATTTATCCAGAGCTGTCCTCGTGGATAATTAGGCTCAACTTTCAAGTTTGTGATATTGTGATGTCCTTCAGAAGAAAATCTTTATTTGCTCTTATGTTCCTCTAGAGTTGAGCTTCCGTATATATTATCCACATATAGTGGAATGATTGGAAATGTTTTCTTCAATCAAGTATTTTCAGTTTTGCTGCTTTCAGGGTTGATTCTCCGAGAAATCTTGTCCTTGCTCACAAAGTTGAGATTTCACGATTCGGTTGCTTGTAGCAATATTGTGAAGATCCTATTCCAAACATTTTAGTACAGAGTTAACTTTTCTGATTGGTTGATATAAGAGTAATAAATATGAAACAATAGGTAATTTTAAATGATTTTTATTAATTACATATTTATAACAAATTTACAGAACTATTTATATAGGATGAAATACAAATCGAAATAGCGATGAAAATGGAATTTGAATACTTTAATGCAAAATTTGAATACTATGAAAGGAAAATACAAATTATAGAGTGATGAATTTTTTCAATGTTCTAATTGAATAAATAAGAACAGCTAGTGGGGATCAAAGATAACAGAAAAAGCAATGAGATTGGGATGGCCAGAGCAAAAAAACATTACAACTAGCACAATGGGGCCCAGGTGAAAAAAACAAAGTAGGTAAGTGAAAAAGTATTGTTGACAGCTGCGACATATGGTTGATTCAAGTGAGTGAAGAAAAATGTACATTAAAACTGCCGTGTTTCATTCGCTGATTCGGTTTGTAATCGCTGCAGTAAAAGATTTTAATAGATTTGCAAAGTAAGATTGAAATGAAAAAAGTTGAAAGAGAAGAAACTATAAATTTCTCCAGAATAGTGAAATAAGAATACTTATACAAATTACTTCTATCTATGAATTGTTCTTCCAAGAGTTAACATCAATCTCTTATTTATATTTTGATATTTCCAAAAATTGTAAGCCTTTTTGAATTTTCTGTTTCTACTGAAATTAGCTCTTTTTTTCATCGAAATATTTGAAATAAGTAGCAAACATTAATTATTTTGATGGGATGAAATCGAAATAATCATCAAAACTTACCAGTGATATGCTTGGAATGCTTTCGTGAGCTCTTTGTCGTCGTAGATCAGATCTGATAAGAGCTTAAAAGATATAAATCATAAATTTTTCGTAGAAAACAATCTTAATTGATAGGAAAAAGTACTATGCTTTCATTATGTGTAACATTTAAATTGCATAAAACTTATTACTTTTAAAGAACTGAATTTTCTCAATTTTTAAAAGAACTAAATTTTCTTAATAAATCAAAGATATAGGAATATGGAAACCAACCTGTAAGAAAAGTCCCAACAATCAGAAATCCCGTAAGTGTTAAATTACTAGCAAAGACATTATCGTATTCAAGAATAAAACCAACACATAAGGTAAGCATTATACCAAACACCTTAAAGCAACTTTTCTCGATTTCTTTTGAAAAGTAAGAAGTATATAAGTTATAATTATTTAAAAGAATTACTTTTAAAAGATTTAGTCGAAGAATTGCAATTAAATTTGGCAGGTTCAACCGAACAAGAAAAACGGAAGGAAGATACATTCTATAGAAAATAAAAGAACCTGAGCAGAAGCATTTAAAAGGCCTGATGCAGTCCCTTCGGCTATTGGAAAAGTTAGCTCTGATGCAAATTCAAAACCAATCGGTAAATATCCGGTCATAAAAAATCTGCAAACTAATTATTTAAAGTAATTGTAATTTCAGTAATTCTTCACAACAGAGACTCGGCATGTCGTTTACTTAACAATTAGAGCACTATAAAAACTATAGAAGTGTTCAATGATTCATTTCATCGATGACACATCTTCACAGTTGACAAGTTTAGAAAATAATGTGAAATGCTCATTTGCCATTTTTTCCATAGTTCATTGAGCCGTCCCTAATTTTTACCCTTCGATGAAACATTATGTCATGTTTTACAGCAATAAAACATAATAAGTAAGTTTGGAAAATATTGCTTTTATGCAGTTTTTCTTAATTATAAAATATTGCAGAAATTGATATAAGTTGTTTCTATATATTTTTTCTTTTGCAAGGCCTAAATTATAACTTCATCATTATCCCATAAAACAAGAAATTACTGAATTTGACAGAAAAGTTTTTGAACTACATATTGCATTGAGTTAAGTTCTTCATTTGATTTTATCGTTATCGATAAATTTTACAGATTTGTAAATTTTCTTTTTTAAAATTCTTTTTTGTGAATTTTTATGCTAAGAATTGCGTGTTCTATTAAAAAAAGAGTTTTATTTTCCCATTTTCCCTTTACATGCTTCTCAAAGAAGTTTCAATTTCCGATTATGGCATCTTCCCATTTAGCTATCTATTAAAAACGGATCGAAATAAATGATTCAAAAGATAATGCCGGGAAATTTTCTTGATAGACTAACGTTCAGCCTTATTCGCACCACAGTTACAGCACTAGTTTTTATTACATCTGAATTCCCTGTAATTACGATCTTAGTGCTGAGTTTAATTTTATCTTTATATAATTTCCTTTTATTTTTTATATTATCATTGGTTTATTCATTCAGCATTGATTAAACTTCTAATTTTCACTTAAAATTCTGTAAAATTAGTAATATTTAGGTCATAGCTTAAATTTACAGAATACTGCAAATCGTACCCGAGAATTATCGAGCTTGCATAAATATACCACATCTGCGCGACATTTATCAAAAAAGTAAACAAAAGCATGCCCATTGTGCAAAACAAATATACAACAAGGATAGTCAGTCTGAAAAAAGTAATTTATAATAAATTAAAAGCTCAAATAGCTTATAATTATAAATCTTAATAACTTCTTTTTTTTCAAAATGGCAAATTAAAATTTTAATTTATTACAGAGCAATCGATTCATTCATTCACTTATTTGCTCTTTTGGCAAAAAGGTTAAAATAAGTTCATATACGATCTGAACATTGATCAATGTCAAATGTAAGATAAAAATTTATGTCAATTATGGATGCATTTTCTTGCAAAAATACAAATGATTAGCTAGTGAAGCGGAAAAAAAGTGTTGTAATTCGATAAAATTTAACAAACTTATTAATTTTTTCTACAAAACATTTTTTTAATCGATAAATGAAAAAGCTACTTAAACTGATGAAAACGATCTAGAATGAAACCACAGAACACTGAACCAATCATCCCTGCTAATATCAATAGCAAGCCAATCATTCCTGCAATCTTATAATTGCGATAAACAACGCAATATTCCTGCCAAATAAATAATTTCTTTAAACAAAAGATATTCTTTACTTTTTATTAAGTAATTACAATATTTCTATATAATTTCGTGATTTCAAGTTTGTATACATAATGCACCTGCACTTTTTTGTTCATGGGGATGAAATATTAATATCATTTGACTGAGTACTGTTGACACAGCGTAAAATACACCAACATTAATTCCTAAACAAATTTTTACATACAATATTTACTGTTAGTAAGAAAACTCTACAAGAATACAGACAGAGGTCACACTGTGAATTTTTTAAAGTCCTTGAACATTAAATTTTTTGAATCTTGAAGGATGTAACAAAATTTTCAGTAAATGATAATGGATAACTTGCATTCCATGTTTCATCTTGCTACATGTAAAACTATAGATTATGAAGTTGCAAACCAAAACAACAGTATGCATACCGTAAGTGATGAAAAGAAGTACAAAATTTCGATTTGTCATCAGTTGTTTTAACGAATGGCAAAAATTTTTCTCGCTCATATCCTCCAGCATGCGCAGCTGTGCCAAACTTGGTGGTAAGGATGGCCTCTTTGGAAATGCTAAAAAACAAAATAGTTAATTTTGATACATAAAAATCCCATAAAATGAAATACTGAGAAATGGAAATTGAACTAAAAAATAAAGTAAAATTTAGAAGTAATTGAATTTTAAGTGATCGTGCACAGAGCAATAACAACCGATTACAACTACAACTTAATAAAACAATCTTGACACCACATCGCTATACTAATTATCTACTTTTAAATAAAAGAAAGAAAAGAAAAACTTACAAAATACCATTAAGAAGAAAATGATAGTATTGGCAACGACTGAAATGAGAAACAATCGACTCAAATCAGAGGCAACAAACTCTGCCTCACCCCTATGAACCAAAACAGGAGGAAGCAAAAAGCCAATTGCAATGCCTAACTGAAAGAAATTTGGAAATTTTCCCAGAAAGTTTTTCAAAATGGGCCTATTTTCATCGCACGTTCATAAACATTTAGTGTTTGCAAATTTTTGAAACAATCATTACTAACATTTCCAATTTCTCATCATTCTAAACTTCCTATCCACCATACCTATTAAAATTGCCTTCAAAATTTTAAATTTAATTTACTCATAAGATGAAATAGCATACTTGGTTACCGAAGACACCAGACGCGCATGCCGTGGAAACTTCTTCTGGGCCGAACCATACAGCAGCTAACCTTGGTGGTATACCCAAAATAAACATTTGAGAAAAGCCCACGATCGTTTGTCCCAAGAATGTGATCCAGAATGCGTCTTAACTACAACAAATTATCTCTTTTTGCCAGGAATTTTAAATCTCTAAAATATTTTATTTCGTTAAAATTTCCGATGAATATATTTTTTGAGAGAGATTATTTATGCACCCATATAGTAGTCAACTCATTTTCAATTATTATTATGATCTGATTTTAAGGTAGCAAATTTTGAAACTTAGATAGAACTAACCAGGCCTTGCTGAAAACATCTTTATCAGTGCTCCAATGCAGTTACCACCAGAACCAAGTATTAATGATGTCCGTAACCCATATTTGTCAAGGACCCAACTGAAAGTTAATTTTTTGCTTATACTTAAAATTATTTTAAATGATTTCGATTATTTGAAAATAAAATTGTGTTATTTCAGGCGATAAAAATTTTGAACAACCTTAATCATATGAATGGATCGCTTAAACTTGCACATAAATGAGAAAAATGAGGGAAGTATTAAGAATTGAAAACAATCACAATTATCATTGATTGACGCAACATTCTAATTTCACTCAGCAAATGTTAACATAACATTTTCCCATCACAAATGAACAAATCAATTTCTTGAAAAGCTTGGCCAAACCTTGCTGGAAGTACAAAGATAATATATGTAAGCATGTAAATCATTGAAGTCCAGTTGACAGCAACATAAGATACTGAATAGAATTCGACGATGATATGCGAAATAACGGAATATTCAATCCACTGCATTGAATTAGAGGCTGATAGTAAGGCGAACATCAATAATATATAATAACGCCTTTTGTAGAGATGAATCCCTTCAGATTTCAATGTATTTCGCGGCGCTGTTTCTTCCACTGTCGATGTTTTTGGTTCATTTACTGTTTCCATTTCTTTTTCTTTTCTAAAGTTAGTAAAAATACCTGAGTATATCATCAAGTTATATTTACCATATAAACTTAAGTTGTCAAAAATTGAAATATTATCGCTGCAAACGAAAGCAAAAAAATTGATTAAAAAATTTATGAAATTTAATTTAATATTAAAATAGCCAAGAAAGAAGCAGTATATTTCATGTTATTTTAACATCTTTTATAAACTTTTTCAGTCATATTTCAACAGCTATCATTATTACTTATCTATTTCCCGCAAATATTACAACTTTGAAATGTCACAAGAATGTAATTCAGAATGCATCTTAACTATAACAAATTATCTTTTTTTGCCAGGAAATTTCCGATGAATATATTTTTGAGAGAGATTGTTCATTACAGTGAAAGAAATAAATATTTATTATTTTAAATAATCCAAATAACACTTTCCGCTTAGCAAAAACTTCATTTCTTATCTGATCTGCCAAGTTTTTTGAAGCATAGCTTTTCGCTCCGTTCAAAAGGGTAAGTTATCCAAAATGTAATAGTAATGCTTTCAAAAAAAGATTACAAATCAATTAAAACTAGAAATTGGAAATCAAAAAAGCAATGCTTAAAAATATCCAAATGTTAGGAAATATAGGGGAAACATTATTTAAAATATAAAAAGCGGAAAGATTTTCCACACAAAAATATTTCAACAAAAGCAAAGCAAAATAATCACAAAAAAATTTTTTAATCATTTCCTTCTTTTAATAAAAATTTCCATCATCTTTTTAATAATATTCAATTAACAGAAATATCTACTAATTAACTCAAATCTATTTGATTCAGTTAATAACAGCAGTTTTGATTATTTGACAAATTTGATACAATCTATCAGAACTGTACGAATATCGCAATGTCAATACTATATCAAATTTTATACTGGCAATCATATGAAATGAAAAAATATATGTATAACGGTGATAACATCATAATTTGCTCATTACATGCTCTTTTCATCTACTTTTTCTTTTCTCAATCATTTTGACACATTTTAAAACTATTTCTTGAAGGGTTTATTTCCAAGCACATATTTACATATATATATATGTAAATATGTGCGTGGAAATAAACGTGGAAACCTTCTTATTTGCTCCGACATGAATAAATATAGTTCATAAATTTATTCAGATCGGAAAAATG